ATCTCACAAACAGTATAGAACTATTACTACCAACAAATGATATTGAAGTTAGTATTCATCGTATTTGGTGTGAGATATTCAAACAAAATCAAATTTCAACTGATACAAATATCTTTACTATTGGTGGTCATTCATTAGTTATAATGCAACTTTTTCATCGATACAAGATCGAGTTTCATTTAGAGCAAATTCTCTTTCTATTTCGAATCTTTTTCAACATCCAACAATTATTCATCATGCTCTACTCATTCAACAATCTACCAATATTATCCACACTCTGGACGATTATCCTTGGTCTTCATTACATATCGTTCTAGCTAGAGCATCATTTGCACAAGAACGAATCTATTTAGATGAACAAATTCGTTTTTCATCCAATAAAACAACCATAAATAATATGTATGTTATTCCATTACTTTATCGTATATCATCTATGAACGATCATGTATCAATTACTCGATTACATTATACATTTCAAAGTGTTATCACAAAGCATAACATTCTTCGAACAGCACTTTATATTGATGATACAAATGGTAATATTATACAACATTGTTTAGATGCAAATATCATTCTTGATGGTGATATGAAATCAAATAGATTAACAATTGTTAATATTGATAATGATAATCATCATCAAGTGAATGAAACTATCGCAGAAATATTGAATCAGGCTGATTTATTTGATTTATCAAAAGGACGTGTTATTCGTTGTCATATTCTTCGTCATTATCATCAATCTCAAGATAGTATCACATATGAGAATGATGATCTATTGACTGAAAATGATCACATACTAATTAGTATTCATCATGCAATATTTGATGGAGCATCAACATCAATCTTTCTTCATGATCTTTCTCTTGTATATGAATCTGATGAGTCACAAGTTCGATTATCAATGGATGAGAGCTCATTGAGTTACATAGATTATTCTGTTCATGAACATATCATGGATATGTCATTATCTCGTGAATTCTGGCATTCTCAACTTGAAGGATATAATCTTGCACGCCAATTATCATTACCTGTTGATCGACAACGTTCATCAACTAATCATCAGCGATCAGGTTTAGCATCCATAGCTGAAATCACTTTCGATAGTGAAATATGCACATCATTTTTAAATTATGCATCATCCCATCATCTCACACCTTTTCAACTTGGATTATCTATATTTTATGTCTTCCTATTCAAATTATCTCATGGTGAGACTGATTTATGTATTTCTTCTATTAATGCAAATCGATATCGAAATGAATTACAAAATATGATTGGAATGTTTGTTTCAACGTTACCATATCGTGCTGAGCTTGATCCCCATTGGTCGTTTAATGAAGTAGCTAAACATGTTCGAGAAAAGTGTTTATCAATTCTTGAACATTCTCATTATCCACTTCAACATATTCTTGGTGATAATCAATTAACTCAATCGAATGTATCATTTCTTGAGATAATGTTTGATTTTATTACTGTGTCAAAAGAGGTGGAATATTTATGTTTGAATGATACAAATTTGAAACAAATATCATTAGAGCAATCACTTGAAATGTCAAAATTTGATTTCTCAGTAACATTTGAATACAATCCATTATCAGATAACAAGAAATTATCATGTAGTCTTATTTGTTCACGTGATCTGTTTGAAAAATCAACAATTTCAAAAATAGCTCAAAGATTTGAATATATGTTGAAGCAGCTGTTTAAAACACAATTAAGCAATGCGTTTACAACCGATACGAATTCATCGATTAACAAAGCATCTCTTATTCTTCCCGACGAAGCTGAGGAAATGAAATTAGTTGTGTTTCATCGATTGGAGAATATTGTGAATGAAGGTATGATTGCGTGCAGCTTATTCGATTGTTTTATAAACGTCGTACTCAGTTAAATCAATAATGAGAAAATAGGGATTCGAATGTGTTGTGATCGTCAATGGCTCAGGTAGTGGCGTAACTAGGGGGGGGGGCAGATGGGGCTTAGTCCAATCACCGAGTGTTTAAGCCCCACCACCCGGATTTTTTAGTTACTGAGCTTATCAATAAAAAAATCCAAAAGACTACTCATGTAACAAAAAACTACAAAAAATATGATTAAAATCGATTTTTTGAGAAAAATCAAGAAAATCTGATTAAATACCACATTTTCTGATTAAACCGTGATACAGAATAGTTTTAACAGATTCCTCCGATGAAATCGATTTTCATCGATTAAATTCTTAGAAAAATAGGTTTTAACAAATTTCTGTTATAAAATCGGTTTAAATAGACTTCCATAATAGAGTGATTTTCATTGATTAAACCATTGAGAATAATATATTTTAATTGATGAATTCTCAAGAGCTAATATATTTCAACAGTTTTCCTTAACAAAAAAAATCAATTTTAATCATAATGGAGAAAAACGTGTTTTTCTCTAGTTTCCGACTATCGACCACACTTCTCGACCTTGTTTTCAGAGTCCTTGCATAGACAAATAGTAAGTACAGTGGTAGAGCAACCTATGATATTCTTATCATATTTCCAGGTACGATATAGCTAGTGGCCTATCCAGAATTTGACTAGTGATATGGCAGTGCCTTATAAAATTTTTAAAACCTACCGTATCACTTGATAATTTTCTGATGATTCAAAATCAGTCTATAATCTTTCAGTGTTTTAGAAAAAGATTAATTTAACGTGAAACACAGGAGCGTACTGAGTGAGGGGTGGTGTAGGGCGCTACGCCCCTTTGTTGTAGGAAATTTTCGTTTTTTTTGGTTTATAAAATCAAGGAAAAGGTTTTTTACACGTTTTTTAGGGTTAGATTTAAGCAAAATAGGGTATTGAGTCTCCTTCTTTTAAAACTTGAAATGCTGAAAGTTTACGCCCCTGGCTATTGACTTGTTCAGTTGTTTATACTATTCTTCAGATATCACTCATCAGAGATATAGTCTTATATAACTTCATCGATAATATAATAAAAAAATAAGGCACCTAGTAAGAAATGTTTCTCGGTGACCTGGCAAAAAATGCCGGTGGCCTGGCCATGGATACGCCACTAGATATAGCTCGATATTCATTCAATTATGTAAGAATATTGATGACCCTGATTAAAATCGATTATTTTAGAAAAATTCATGAAAATCAATTTCTATTGATTTTTTGTCGATGAAAAATCGGATGTAAATCGTGCCATTTAAATCGATTTTTCATTATTGAAAAATCGATGAAAATCAGATTTTTTACGTTTTTTTTTACATGGTATAGACAGCGCTGGTGCTGAGCTCCATCTCCCTTAAATTTCTGGTTACGCCACTAGGGTCAGGTTGTTTTTTTCAGGTGTTATAGTTTTGTGACTCTTAAGGAGAGATCGCTCATGAATATCTGCTTTGAATATGTCAACAGTCTTGTATTTTTATATTAATATAAGAAAGTTAACACGTGACGTTGCTCGAAAATTGTATATGTTGTTTTAAGAGACGGAACAACTATGACACTAGAATTTTTCGTAAGTCTGCGTATGTATAAACTGGCACTCTCTCAGAACTAAGATACACTCGTAGATTTTATGCCAAAAAACAAATCACACTTAAGTTATTCAGACTGTTAAACAGAATTGGTAAAACACAGAGTTTGGCATTGGCGAAACTAGTCTTCTTTGACTTCTAAGTAAACAAAGTACTAATCAGTAATAAATTGTCGAAGATTTTGGGTATCGAAACTGAAATCGAGGTGAAAAACATAAAAAGGCTTGCAGTCGGACCCAGAATTACAGGGTCGAAGCTTTTCGGAGTCATAATCCGATTGTATAGTCATAAAACACCTACATCACATAGTTCTCTACCATCAAACATTTTTGTTTACTTTGGTTTTCTTCCAATGTTATATAATAAAGCTTGTACAAAGATATTTTTGTTTTATTCACTGCTTTAACGTACGTGTGTAGATTATAAAAATTGTTAAACATTGGATTCGGTGTTAGACCTGTTGTTCTGGAGATATAAAAATACTATTTTTTACTGCTATTGCAAAATATTAACGCATTCTTAACATTAATACTAAGACAATATTCTTAATACAGACTCTACTCAGTTAAAAAACCAATTAGATGAAAAGTGATTAGAATATTGATATCAAGGATCATTTGACTATGCACCTTTTACATTATAATTAACTAAACTCGCATCATTCTAGCACCAGCATCATTTGCACAAGCTCGTATTTGGCTTGATGAACGAATTCGCTTCGATCCAGAGAAGCCACAGGTAGCAATCTATAACATGCCATTTATTTATCGTATGCAATCAAGTCATACTTTATCCGTTAAACAACTTCATCAAGCTCTACAGATCACTGTTGACAAACACCTCTCACTCCATACGTCACTTACTTTTGATGCAGAAATGAATGTGCTCATGCAACGGGTTATTACACGAAAAGAAAATCACACTGATATGTTTTCAATCATCGAATCTACTTATGAAACAGATGAACAACTTAATAACATTTTACACGATGAGAAACGTAATCCTCAACTGTTTAACCTTGCGCAAGGTCTTGTCTTTCGATGTCATATTATTTATTATCAACAAGTCTCTTCAAATGATCTACTTTCTGACAAAGATATACTTATTTTCAACTTTCATCATGCTCTATTTGATTTTCCATCAATGAATATATTTCTGCATGATCTTAATCAAGCATATACAACAGGTCAACTATTATATGATGACAACACTCTCCTACGTTATCTCGACTGTAATTATAAATACTACTTCTACTTTTCCCTTCTCTAATACATTATTTTTTTACTTATGTAGATGCTGTTATTGAACAACAAATGGCAATGACTGGTGCAAGCATGTTTTGGTTTGATGCTCTTCATGATTGTAAACTTGATCAGTCTCTATCATTACCATTTGATCGATATCATCTTACAAATGAACACCGAACTGGTCATGCAACATCTATTTCATTTGATTTTGGTCAAGATCTCTCACATCACTTTCTTACCCATGCATCATCAAATAATATACCACTGGAACATCTCACATTTGCTATTTGTTTCATCTTTCTATTTAAATTAACTAGTGGACAAACAGATCTATGTTTGGCTATGAACATCAATGATAATCGATATAGAGATGAACTCAAATCAATCATTGGACTGTTTGAGAA